CCCCCCGCCGCGGGAATCTGGCGCAGGCGCACCTAGAAGCCCCCGCCTCGCGGGGGCCGCGGCGAAGCTGTGTTCGGGCGTCCGGGTCGGCAGTCTTGCCTCCTGGCGGCCCCCCCGAAGCCGGCTTCCCTTTCCCAAAGGAACCCTGTAGCCTCACCTTTCCCTGCTCAGCGAGGAACCCGAACCTCGGCCTCCGCGGCGCGAGCTCCTGCTCCTCGCAGTGCACGCACCCCTGCGCACGAGCCCGACAGGGCAGAGAGCCAGGTGCCAGGCGTTTCCACCCTTAAATGTCTCAGCATCCAACGGATAAAGATGAAAGAAGAGCAGTAACAAACATGAAAGATGAGCCAACCCACCTGAAAAATAACACTCACACCAAGTATCTGTCTCCTGTGCCTGCCGCGGGAGTCCGTGGTCACACTGGAGTGCTTGAATGCAACTGGCCTGATGAGATGTGCTGTGTGAAAGACACGCCAGATTTCAAAACGTGGTAGGAAGGGAAGAAAGCGTAAGAGTTCATTAGTAATTGAAAAAGTACCGACTGCTTGTTGAAATACTGCTACTTCTTATATTGACTTAGATTGACCACATTATTAAAATTTATGTTGGTTTTTTTCTTTTGATGTGGCGACTAGACATGTTAAATTCACGTATGTGGGGAGGGTTTCTGGAACAAGGCTGAGGAGCTCTCCAAATCTCTTCTCAAGCAGGCAATGGTAAAGCAGGGCAATATTGTTAAAAGCAACCGTCCCAGGAGTCTGGAAGTTGACTAGAGGCCTACAACGTTTGAGAGCACAAAAAAAAAAAAAAAAAATTCCTGAACATCAGAGACACCTGGCTGGTTCAGTCAGTGGAGTAAGGGACTCTTGATCTCGGGGTTGTGAGTTCGAGCTCCAGGTTGGGTGTAGAGACTACTCAAAAATAAAATCTCTTTTTAAAAAAAAAGATCGAACGTTAGTAAAGGTTAAAAACAGTGGCAGTCCGTGGAGTTTCAGGAGGGGGCTGCTTTCCTTTTCTCCCAGCCCAGGGCAATTCCACCAGAGCCAGACAGGCCCTGAGGACTTGAAAGCCCCACAGGGCGTTTGTGAACAATTGCCATCAAGGTGGACGGCCACCGGGTAGCTACCCACCCCTCAGCTCCCTGAGGCTGGTCGAAGCCAGCACAGTCCGGCCAGAGATTCACAGGAAACTCAGTAACTAAAATAGCCACAGTTGGGCCTTGGTAAGCCCCCCAGATGTCCCTGGTGGTCTGCAAGGCTGTGTATATGCTCAGGAAGGACCAGAGACGGCCCCAGCAGTATACTCATCTCTGGCTGAATACAAGGCTTTGCACAAACAGAAAGCAAAAGCCGGGCTGAGCCGTAAACTGCTTGAGCTTTGAACACGTCCCCAACCTGCACACAGAGCTGTCCGCAAAGGGCGGAGGGCTTACTTGGTCCAAACATTGGAGCATTACCTCTAGCCAACAATTGTCCTTAAACTATAGCGACCCAGAGGCAATTTTAGGAAACCAGACTCACACGTCGGAAAAGAAACAAAGAAAAATCTGGCAGAGGGGCACCTGGCTGGCTCAGTCCACAGAGCCCACGACTCTTGATCTTCGGGTCGTGAGTTCAAGACGTGGAGTCTAGCAGGCAAGGTACTGAGTAAACAAACACTAGTTCCAAAAACAACACTAAGGGATGGGGGTGAGGAGGTCAAAACCTAGAGTTTTTACAACACATTACCTAAAATGCCCAGTATTCAATAAGACATTGTAAGACATTCGAAGAACCAAGAAAATTTGAGACCTGTACAGGGATTGTAAATCAACCACACACTTCCATGTAAGCGAAGGGTCAAAGAAATCAAAAGGGAAATTTTAAAAAGTGAGTGAAAATGAAAACAAAACATCAAAATTACAGGATGCAACTGAAGGAATTCTTGGAACAAAATTGTGAGCTATTAACTCCTACGCGAGACAGGAAAGAGGTCACCCAAACTTCCACTTTAAGAGCAAACCAGCAGAATAATGGACATACTAAAAATTAGAGCAGAAAAACATGAACAGAACACAGAAGAGCTATAGTGAAAACACTGAAACCAGAAACTGGTTTCTTGGAAAAGACTCACCAAAATTGACCAAACTTTAGCTACACTGGCAGAGAAAAAATAGAGAAGACACAGATCGCCAGAATCAGGACGTCATCGCGGAAATGAGGACGAGATGACCAGAAAAGAGGGCTGAGAAAAACAGAGAAGTTCGATAAAACTGACCAACTCCCAGAAAGGGAAGATTACCGAAACCGACCCCAAAATAAATCAGGGGCGGCTGGGTGGCTCAGTCGGTTAAAGCCTCCAACTCCTGATTTCGGCTCAGGTCATGATCTCGCGGTTAGTGAGTTTGAGCCCTGAATCGGGCTCTGTGGTGACAGTGTGGAGACTGCTTGGGATTCTCTCTCCCTCTCTCTCTCTCTCTCTAAATAATAAATAATAAGGAAGTAAATAAATAAATAACAAGGAGGCACGTTGTATTCGTAATTTAAGGTCTACGAAATAAAAGCCCCGGGCCCAGATAGCTTCAGTGAGTTCTAGGAGATATTTAAAAATTCATACCAATCGTCTACAGACTCTTCTAAAAAAACAGAGGCGAGAACACTGCCTGACTCGTTCTGTGATGCCAGGAGTGTCCTGATGTGAAAACCAGTCAAAGACTGGACACTAACATTCTTCATAAGCACAAAACTCCAGGAGCATAAGAGGACTTACACACCATGACCAAGCGGTGTTGGCCCCAGACGCAAAGGTGACCTGCTGTCTGAAGATCGGCGGCTGCACCGTGTGCGTTAACGGTGTGCACAGACACATGATTATCTCAACAGATTCAGGAGCATTTGGCAAAATCCAACACCTACTCAAGATTTAAAAAAAAAAAAAAAAAAAAA